GGCGATCAATCCCGACCGGTAGCGAGCATACAGGAATACGACACACAACACGTCGTAACCTCAACGGAAGCCAGCGCAGAGACGGCGAAATCTGGTGGACTCAACGCGCGTAAGAGATGTACGTGCTGCCTCCATGGGTAATTCCGTAAGTTGTTCGATCTCATGCGGATAACGATTTTGTAGGACTTCCTCTACGACACGGTTTAAAAGGAATGGGGATGTCGGGCAGCCCTGTGGAACTCCAGTAGAGACGTTGAAGGGTGGCGAAAACTGGCCATATGCTCTAATCCGACCTGAGGTATGACGTTACAACTCTTTGAGGATGGATGCATACTTCTCAGGTACTCCATTCTTCAATAAACAGTTCCATGGTGCGGTCCTATCGATAGAGTCGAACGGCGCGCGGATGTCTAACAATACACTAATCGTTGATCTTTGATCGACATGACGGTGCTCTAGCAGCTGTTGGAGGGTGACGATTTGATCGATGCATGCACGACCGCCACGAAACTCAGCCTGCTCCTCATGCATAGTGTACAATCGATGTAGAATGACGGACGCCGACATCTTTGACGCTATTGGGATACGGCTTATACTCCTATGATTGGCGCAGTTATTGCGCGGGCCCTTTTTGAAGATGGGGACGACAATTGATTCTCTCCACACTTTAGAGAACAGAACCTGTAGTTCTCGAACAAGCTTTATTCCACCATCTTTAAATAGAGCAGGTTGAAGGCCATCGTAGCCCGGCGGTTTGTGACGTCCCAAGGCTTGGGTTTCCTTACTGATTTCCGCTTCAGGTGGGTCTGTTGAGACAGGCTATGGGACGTGTGCCGGAATAGCTGTGTGAAAAGGTGACGCTGATGGCCAGCTAAATTGTGCTTTGAAGTGCTCTGCCCTGCGTGCACGATGTCACTATTGATTATGATTAGGCGAGCCGTCAGTTCCATAGACCGTTTTCTTTTTCTTCATTTTTACTTTTATCGAATACGTAAAGGTTTTCTACGGGTGATCCGGATACAATGGAACAGCTTACGGGAATTTTCCTTTGCGGCGGTACGTTCCATCTCTAGTGGTTAGTTCAGGTAGAAGCGCAATTTCGGCTGGCCAGGGTGACAAATCAAGTCACCAAATTTACACAAATATCCCACGCTCTGTGGGGCCTGGCTTAAGGGATGTGGTTTGTAATCCCCCACCCGATAGACCTTACGACGCATTAAAGGAAGCGATCATCAACCGGTTCAGCATGACGGAGAACAACCGTCTTATGCAGCTATTGTACGGAATCCGTCTAGGGAATAATGGGCTGTATGCTCCCATACAGCTGCTCAGCTATATGAGGAGTCAGGCTTCCAGTTTGCACGTAAGTGAAAACGTGCTACGCATTTGTTGGATGCAAACACTTCCAGATTATGTTGCGACTTTCCTTCGAGTATTCACGAATAAAGCTACCTTAGACGAGCTAGCAAAAGCAGCCGACAGTATTTGCGCACACACCCCGTCGGCTCCATCAGTCATCCGCGTACTCAGGGAATTATTCGTGGAAAAACGCAATCCTCATCATCATCGTCATGGTACAGCGAAATACAGTGAGGCGAAATTCACTGATCGCTACCAAACTCGCAATGCATACAAGGTTAGTGGTAAAATTTAAGGTGGGGGAAGGTGAACACAGAGTACGAACTCTGCATACACACAAGTTTGAAGCATTTTGACCTAATAAAAAACGACAACGATGAGAAACGACATTGCCGTCGGTTCCTTACCATATCCTTCAATGTCTCCAACCAACCAGTTGTAGAGTCCTTCGGACCCCAACCTGGAGACACCTACTCCCCGTAATAGCTCTGTGCCTTTCTTCATGACCCGTCTCCACGTCATCTGTTGACCTCCGCGTGGTTTTCTCCAGCCCGGATTAGCGAATAAAGCGCGGCGTGGCACACGACAGCTGGGCATACGCAATACGCGTCCTAGCCAGCGAAGTCTAGTAATCTGAATTCGGTGTGCCAGCAGGTTTATACCTGATAAACTCCTAAACACACGAAGCCTTACCTTTACGTTACTAACCCGTTCGCTGAATCCTACATAGGCTAAACTACGTAAACACTGATTATCGAAAACTTTCGGTCGACGGATATCTTCTACTGGCAAATTCAAGGTCTCACAACCATAAGGCGGGACTGAACGAACGCTAGCGCAATATACACGACCTTTCGCTTCAGTGAAACGTTGCGTCTACGCCAAAGGTGTTTCAGTCCAGCGTATGTTTCTCGAGCCTTGGAAATGCGGGCGGTTGTCTTTCTATGCTGCACTACCGTCATTGATCACGCAACTAAAAGCAATCCACTGTTACTAAACCCTGGCCATTTAGTTTCAGAGCGGGAGTAGACGAAACCCAGTCCTGCAGCATCAATTTGCACTTTGAAGGTGCAAAGCACATAACGAATGTGGCTCTTGCACTTGTTATTCTATAAAGTGCGCTTTGCGCATTCCTCGTACATTGAAACAGACGGACGATGTCATCGGCGTACTCTAAATCGCACAGCTTTTTCTCCAACTGCCCATTCAATACCTACGTTTTCGAGTCCACATAGTGCATTCTACAGTATTTCGTCTACGACGAAATTGAACAAGAACGGCGAAAGAGGGCATCCTTACGGACACGCTGCTGGTGACGAACGGCTTACTTAGATTGTTGTCAACCCTTAAACGACTGGAGGTCTGTGAGTACAGTGACCTCAGTAGGTTGACATACTTCTGGGGCATCCCTTTTCGAAGAAGGGTGACCATCAGAGCTTCGCGGTCAACTGAATCGAAGGCTCTTTTCAGGTCAAGGAATACTGCGATCGTTGGCCGACGGTGGGTGTGACGCAGCTCAAGGACATGACGCAACGTAAAAATTTGATCAATACATCCACGGCCAGGCCGGAATTCGACTTGCTGTTCACGGATGTTGACCTCTCTTAAAGGCGTCAGACGTCGAAGTATAACCGAAGCTAGTACTTTGGTGACAATCGGGATCAAACTTATCCCGCGGTGGTTTTCGCAATCGTTGCGAGATCCTTTCTTGGAAAAGGGAACGATCAGTAACTCGCCCCAAGATGAAGGAATGTGTTCTTGCGTCCAAATGTTGCGCAGTAGGGTAGTAATACAGCTTATGGAGTTATCACCCTCCAGCCTGAAAAGAGTGGAAGGGAGTTCATCCGGTCCTGCTGCCTTTCCTCGCTTCAGAGCTTGAATGCAAGACCGAACTTGTGGTTCTGCTGGAGGATCGCATGACAGTGCCCACGGAGCTTCAGTTGTAGATGTAGCAGCCTAGCTAGCACCAGGTCAGATGAACTGTTCGCTTTCAATGCGTTAATTCAGATCGTGTTAGTTCTTGTGTGTATACGAGTTTTCCGCGTTCATCGTAGGGTCGAATTTTCTCTCTAGTCATGGATAGCTAAATCATTAATGCGTTGTTTTTAAGCTTCACATGACACGATTCATGGAGCGATCATTCTGTGCGTTGAGTGTCGGATAAACGCACAGATAAATCTGTTCCCAAGGTATCCTGGGTGTTTTGTTGATGCGCTTTGGCCTACGTATGGCTGTTTGTCGTGGGGAAAAGGGAGTCGCCTTGCGATACCGTGCTAGTTTAGTTCGGTTTCTTATGAGTTGAGTATGCCAGTGGTACATTTTTCAAAATCAAGAAGTATTGATATAATGGAGCTTCTGTGGACTTCCGGCTTTTCCGGGGAAACATTGTATTCTTGACTTATTCTAAAATTCATTTACCAGTGGATTTGCGTCTATTAGATTCATTCAGTTTGATACAGGAAATATAACGACCGGAAGCCATAATCATTCTCGTCTTACTGCGCTACACTCTAACCCGATTTTGAATCTGAATAGATTCGTTAGATATGCATAAATAATGATCTATACCCATTTAATTTGTCTCATCGAGTTCAATTAAGATTACCTTATTCATCTCGTTGGATGGGTTTGTCGGAGTGTTTCCGCCGTTGAATATGCTCGCAGAATAGATCTCGTTAAATTTGATATGTAGAACTGTGATTGTGTTCCAAGACATCTAGGGAGTGTACTCCGGTTGAATTCTCTGCCACATATCTAGCGAGATGGGGAATAACAGACAAACAGTATGCAGTAGTTCTATCACGACCTTTAGTTACGTGAACGGACACAGAATTTTGGATTCGCGTGTCCAATGTGTTTTTCGTTTTGACAGTACCTTGCTGCAGAGTTTTTTGTCACAATTAATGACGTGTTGTTTCACTTTTGCGCGGTACATCTTCCGTAGTACTCAGCTTGTCTGTATGGTACACTTAACTCTGAACTCTTCCCACACTGATCAACCAAACCGGGTAACCAGAAGATTGCAACCGAAACCATGAAAGTGATTTTGCAAACTGATGCCATCAACTCAGTGTAACGACTCAGATTTTATCATTAATGTCTTTTTCAATCCATAACTATTGGATACATGATAAGTGGAATTCATCATCATCATCACCGTTAACCTTGGGAACTGTAGTAGCTGAGAACTAGGTAAAATGAATGTGCGTGAACGGTTGTTGTGTTTCTTTCGCCATCCATAGTATTTCCAATATGCTGTATTTTTTGATTGATCTTTTTATTGGAGAAGAATATCACTGAAATTCTACTTCGATAATTGTCCGAATACCAACTTCTATTCCCAAACTCCTAATTTAATCATCATTCTTTCCGTTCTTCATTCAGCCTTCTTCTCGGACCATCCAATTCCCACGGACTTTAATGGTGAATCAAATACATATAAACAAGACTATTGGAAAGATGCGCATTCACTTCACACACCCGTACCCAAGCTCACTCTGGCACCAGACCTTTCTTCTCCGTACAGTGCATCTGTATTCTCCAATCCAATTGTTAATCCATTGCCATCACCGTCAACGCTATCTTCTTCACTCCATCCCGACGCAATCGGTATATATCAACCCACTCATTCGCGCTCCGTAATGGATAGCTCGCCTACAGCGTTACTGTCTCCCTCTCATAGTTACACAGCACATCATTCATCAATTGATAAACCAATGGATACACGTATCTACAGCAGTTACTCGAAATTTTCGACTAGTTCTATTGATGCAAACGATGGCAGCAGTAGTGCTTACTCCAACACGGTTGTCAGGAACATTCATCCGTTTGAACAGCACTCGGAATCCAGTGTTGGATCGCCTTTGGCTTATATGAATGATCAGACGTCGAGCGTCGCCTACCTTGATCCCCATTCACACTATATGGCGCCTCTTTCAGATGGTTCGTGGCTCCCTTCCGACAGCCCGAAAAGTAATCGAGTTTCAACCACAGCACAATCCATGACCACTCCACTGAATCCTGTTCACTGTCTGTTCAACTCCACCACAAACAGTGTTCAAAACAAATTATCGCTCAATACTGTTAACACCGGCACCAAACCACGCAACTCCGTTGCGTCTTGTGTTGAAGACCGTCTCTTTAACCACGCAACCGGTCGTCTCACAAATAGTCAAACACCGACTAAAGCGGTTAGCACAGCCTCGAACATTCGTACACAACGTTCTATGATCGAAGGACCACGCTCCTGTGTTGTTTGTGGGGATAAGTCCTCCGGATCACACTATGGAGTTTTCACTTGCGAAGGTTGCAAGGTGTGTTTTACTCTCATTTTTTTAATCTTTGGTAGTGAATCGAAATTTATACTAGCGGGGCAGCTGCATTCGCGTTCTGTCGTTTGTGCACAATTAGCTGAGAGGGTACCGTAAATCGTGGTCAGTATAAACGATCGTGTTCACTAGTTTGTTGCTCGTCTAATCTCTGCGGTTTAGTGGTGATTCCAGCATAGCGCTTGCGACATTCGCCCTTGTGTTCATACACAGGCGAGCGAAGCAAATTTCATAATTTGATTATATTTTTTGTTTCCCTCGTATAGGCTGCTCTGCTGTCGTTCGATTGAATGCCACGCCTACCCTATCGGGGCCTTATTTTTTCCGCCACTCCAAGTCCCAGGGCTTAGGTTCCTGGCTTCCACCACTAACTACCGGGTCCAAGTGACTATGGGCTTCAACCCGTCTGATGAGGCGTGTGAGAGTGGAGCATTAGGATGAAATTGGATCTGGAGGACGCAAGGAGATGATTGAATTAGGGTCTTGTATGCGTGTCTCGGAGACGCAGTATACACCTAAATGGAAGGTTTCAAGGGTTCTTGCTAAGGCAGCTTGTTGACCGATCTGGTAGTGTGTGTGAACATTTAGTGCAGCGAGGTGAAAAGAGGATTAGGGTTTCACAAATCTGGTATCCTCTGAGTGGTTGGCCGCATTAGTTGAACGTTGAGTGATATCCCATGGATGGCGCAAACAGGATGCATCCTCTACGGTTTGGGAGTGAGAAGAGGGAGTGGGCGGTTGAAAAAAATGGTTTTCCAAATGGGTTCCTAAGACTTTAGGGCATGGCGTACTTCGCGGTTGCCCACTCCGACGAAGGGATTTTTCTTCGGGAACCCTAACGGGATCCTTTGACTCAAAAGTCTGACCCGCAGGGCGGTGTAGATTATGGTGTACCACAACCTACAATGCATCTTCGACTGCAGACCGTTGGAGTGTACGCCGAAACAACAAACAGGTTTCGCCTTTCGGCCCGATAGTTGCTTGCTTTGCGCGAAACTCTGAGTCTCATTGCGCACAACCTACTGTGGACTAGGATCCAGTGCAGGGGGTGGCTTCAGCTCTCACATTGAGAGCCACGCCGACGCCAGGAAGACCGGAAGTCGCAGCCTCAGGGTCCCCAGAGAGCCGTAATTGAAACTTCACATATTGGATTGATGGGGACGTCAAACGGATAATGGAGATTGGATTCCTGAATGTGAATTCCATGGACGCAAGGAACATAGATGGCTAGAGTCTGAAGAGTTATAGGTAGGGATGCCTGTTGTGCCAGACGCATTTGAGTGCGCACGTTAAACATGGCTTGTTCGAAGAGAAATAGTAGCTGCATTCAGTGGATTTGGATTCTGGGACACAACTGGTATTAAGGTACTTTGAAGACCCCGATATATTTGGAAATATTTGATAGGGTACAGATGTATACACTGCCGAACGGTTTTCTCTAACTGGGTTGAGCTGTGGGTGGAAATTCTTGTATAACAGTTTTTCATGTTTTATTTAGTCTACGTCGAGGGCTATTGTACTCTTCGATCGCCCAGCCGAGAATGGGCTTTGTTCAAGAGTGCACTCTAGGCTTTGCGCAACTAAGCGCTAACTACAAGGCATTAACATTGTTTCAGGTGAGCCGATTACCGGTTGTGGTGAAATATTGCGGTAGCTGTCGCTAAGGCTACGAAGATGACTCTCATGAATGCTTTGCAGACCGAATTGATCCTAAATCGCGTACCTAATGTATTCATATTCATTCTGTGAGACTCCGACCTGATTCAATGAACTTAAACCGTTGATGTGGTCCACAGGGATTTTTGTGCTCAGGGCATGGTTCACCTTTGTTTGAATTCTAGAAATTTTTTTGATTGGTTCTTCGACAGAGCGCGGTCTAACTCACAGATACTTTCAACGGGGGTGGTTTTGATTCAGTGATCTAGTCGCTGGCACTGGTATGCTTCAAACTTTATGGTCCGGGTTTCGACCCTCGCCACCACCACTCAACTTTGGTGACAGGCAGCCTGACCTAGAAGAGCCTTATGTGGCTCGCCACTCCAAGTCCTCGGCTTAGGTTACAGTCTTTAGTCACTTAACAGCGGGTCTTCGTGACTATGGGATTCATCCCGTCTGCTGTTCATTACACAATGTCCTTCAAAAAGTAAAATGTGCTATTTATTTCTAATTGCCTTTTCTCCGAGCTTGCTGTGAAGTATTTTATGTTAGCGCTCTTATGAACGACCAACTAAAGAAATCAGAAAATACACGAAGTCAGTTAATCAATACGACACTCGTAGAGTCAGTGGGAGTTTGTGATAAAGCCTGAACTCTTGGGGTATGTAACTATAACTTTGCTGACCGGTGATTATTTGGTCAATCATGACATGTTGATCGATTGGATCATACAATCACTGACATGTAATCACTCGTTGTGATGTGATGATTACTCGTTTGAGTTGGCTCATTATCGTCTCAGCTTCGGCACGAGAATGACGAGTGGAACAAGGCAACTTCAATACAGTTATTTCCTTGATTAACGGTTCAGTCAAAAATAATGGACAAAATGTCATTTCCTGTTTTAAGTTCGCTTAATCATATCTCAGAGCTTTTGTGATGGTATATGACGACCGAAATCCGTAGGATGAAGTTTTGTTTTCATTTTTTTTGTTTATTTAATATCACCGTTGTTCTTGAAGGGAACCCGACTTTCTCAGAGGGCTGCCATCAAATACTGCAAAACTTGTTGGTAATGAGTTTGAAACACCTCAGACGTCTCCCTTGTGATTCACTGCTCTTTGTTCGTTCCCTTGATTTTCATGTTATTTGTTCCAACCTAATTTGAAATAGGATATACAGGTGTTGACCAAACTCGTACAAGCTCACCCGCATTTTGAAAACCCATTTCAGCTTGCAATAGCATACTTATATATAGATGGTTATGAGTACAGTGTATTTATTCCTGACTTTATGTCCAACATCTACGTTCTTAGTTCATTTCTATCACCATTTGAATGTGCACGACCTTGAGTGTTGCTATAAAATTTGCAGTAGTTCGAAAGTTACAGCTCTGATTTAGAAAATATTTTGGGCAAAGTAGCATGGGTGTTCATTCTTTTTAATAGATGATTCGTGTCCTATGAGAGTTTCGATTAGGTTGAGCACACGTATTCTAAATTTCTATTCTCTTTTCATTCAGTGCACAGTAAATAAGCAA